CTGGAAATGGCACAGTCTTTTAAACTCTTAAAGCCCACTGGATGGTGGTGGCACATGCCTTTAATCCCAGCACTTGGGAGGCAGAGGCTGGTGGATCTCTGTGAGTTCAAGGCCAGCCTGCTCTACAGAGCTAGTTCCGGGACAGCCAGGGCTACAAAGAGAAGCTCTGTCTCGAAAAACCAAACAAAAACACAAAAACAAACCAAAACAAAAAAGCTGCTTAAAGTTCACCTCCAGTGACATGCTTCTTCCAACAAGGCTATACATTCTAAACCTCCCCGAATAATTCTATCAACTGGGGACCAAATGTTCAAGTACCCCAGACAATGGAGGGCATTCTTATTCAAACCACCACTTAGGACCAGCATTTGAATCCCAGCACCTACATGTTGGTTCAAAACCATCTGTAACTCTAGTCCTGGGAGGTTCTGTGCTGCCTTCTGACCTCCACAGGCACCAGGCACACATGGTGTACATACATGTGTACATACATATATACAGGCAAAACATTCGTACACATAAAATTAAAAATCTGAAAAATAAATCAAGAAAAAGGAACTGTCAGACAACTTGTCTTTTACATCCTCATCATTCTGGGCTCTCTTGCCTCCATCCCTGCCTCTCTGTTTTTATCCTCCAAGAGAGGATCATTGTCCTAGCTCACAGCCCAGCAGCATCTCAAGCCCCAGTGCTGTCTGCATTGGTCTGCTGTGCTATAGTCCCCTGAAGCTGGGCTAGGATTTCTCTGCCGAGGTGAGTCATGCAGCTTATAGGGACCCGGTAACTGCCAACGCTGTGAGCAGCAAACCTCATGCCAGCAGGCCATCTGAACGGAGCTGTAAGCTGACCAGAACCTGTAGGAGAGCTCAGAATTCCTTCACACGCCATCCTGGTTATGGCCTATGTTCCTCTATCTTTTCCCTGGCTCTGGTCTTGTCTCACCTGACATTACTCTCACTGTGCTTGAGAACAGCTGCAGTGTCCTGCCCCTGGACCCTGACATGCACCAGCTGTGGGCTAGTCCACACTAATACTGAGTAAAATCCAAGTGACACAGTGTCAGCCGTTCTTCACATGATTCTCTTGAGTATCTGCTGTGAACTTCATTTCTGTAGATCACACAGTTTAGTTTAGAGTTGTGAGGTCATAAGAACCCACACACTGCTAGAGTTCCCAAGTGTGGTGCAGTGTATCCCAAAAAGATACAGGAAAGGAACAGCATTGGAAGCCAGTGCTCAGACCTTACCAGTAATTGCAGGAGGTGTAGGTATCCTTTGGTCAGAAGTTGGTTAAGAATCAGACACTGCACAGAGCAGAGGGATGTGTGCATCTGTATGCCCTGCTTCAGCATGCAGGTGCCAGTCCACCAGCCAGCTCACTCCCATCCTGACTCAATGACTGATGACCTGGGGGTGGGATCCATATGTTCACCCTGACTGACTGGTTTTGGACTTGAGATCTTGCATTTGCTCTGTGTAAGTTTTACCCCAAAGTGTTAAGACGTTCTGTGGGGTGAAAGCCAGGTTGTGTATTATGCAGGAGACAAAAATGGCTTCCTTGATTGCAGTTGTAATTCCTAAGTATTTATGTAGCTTGATTTCTGAACAGCATCACTAAGCATGAAAAACCCTTGGAAATGCTTTCCTGTGTCTGTCATTATTTAATTAGGTTTTTTTCGAAGCTGAGCATCAAAACAGGCTATACTTGGGCTAGAGAAATGTCTCAGTAGTTAAGAGCATTGGCTGCTCTTCCAGAGGACCTGGGTCTGATTCATACCTGTCTGTAATACTAGTTCCAAGGGATCCAATGCCCTCACACAGACACACATGTAGACAAAACATCAATGCATGTAAAATTTTTAAAAAAAATTCAAAACATGCTACACAAACCACTGTCCCACAGCCTTCTGAGATGGTGAGCCTAGTTTTGATCATGGGCAGCATGTTTTCCAGGGTTGGTATGATCCATGGGCCTGCATCCAGCACCTGTTTTGATAGTAAGGTATTAGAAGAATTCTTTGAGGAACTGCTGGCAGTCTGGTGCCCTGTTAAAGCCTACTGTCTGCCATTCTTGTAGCAGCAATGGCCGTCAGAGAGAATGAAGCAGTAAAGGAAGATAGCACACAGTCACAGCCAGGCAAAATCAGTTCACCCTCCCAGCACTCATACATAGATGAAAAATAAACAAATACAGGAAATAAAGTTTTCCAGGGTAGCCAGACCTATGTAGAAAGACTCTGCCTCAAAATAAATAAATAGAAATAAATAAATATTTAAAAAAAATAAAAAGAGGGAAAGAAAGGTTGAGAAAGGCGTTCCCTGTTGCCCATGAAGCTTCCAAGGTATCAGCTGCCCTGCACTGTAGCCCTGGGAGCTGTTCAGACCGGTGGGCAGGATTCTGGCAAGATCTGCCCTAAAGGCAACTGCAAAGCTGCGGTGCCCATTGTGTTTGAATGTCTCCGACTCTCTTGGCTAAAGGAGGAGGATGGCAGACCCACTCGCTGCTCCAGCCAGCTGCAGTATAAGGTGCCATCGGTGTAAGAGTCATAATTCTCAGTCCTGAAAACCCAGCAGTTTTCTGGGAGTTGAGACTTTCCCAGTGCATGGTGCTGCTTGGAGGAGATGTCTGGCCTCTGACATTCCACACACCCTTCAACTTTGTTCAGTTGTGTGAATTTTGTTTTGCCTTTGTGATATTGGGACTGGAACTCTGGAACTCAGATCCATATACATACGAGGCATGTGCTGTGCCACGGAGCAAATTTAGTTCCTATAATCATGGCCTCTAGTGACTCCAAAGTTGGAGAGTAAACTGAAACATGGTATTTTAAAACATTTTTATTACATTTATTTATTTATTTATTTATGTTTGTTGTGTGTGCTGTGACATGGCACATCTGTAGAAGTCAAAGGACTTGCACGGGTTAGTTCTCGTCTTCATCACTTGGGTCCTGGGGATTGAATCAGGCCATTGGGCTTGGTGGCAGGCACCCTTACTTGCTAAGCCACTGCCCTGCCCTGGCATTAGGAGCTTGGAAGAAGAGCCCACAGTTAGTTGGGTGCTGAGGCTAGCAGCAGTAAGGCAGTGAGATCAGTACTAAGGTTTAAAACATATCATAGGCAGTGGGCTGGCTGTGAGTACTTGGCCTGGTTCCAAAATGCTTTTATATGCAAACAGCTAAATGATATTCATCTGCTCTGCCCGTTTTCCTGTCCAGCTCTGAGTCACTTCCCTTGGTCCAAATGGGTTTTTTCCTTTTTCCTTTCTCATACGCCCTCATGCTCTTTGGTCTGGGAACACTGGATACAGATTGATTCTCTCTGGGCAGGGCAGGCACTGGTCCTACATTCTGTTGCTTAGAGAAGGAGGGTGTTTAGAATGGTGTCACTGAGTCTATGCTGAGGGCTTGCTTCCTGCTGGCCTCTAGCTGAAGGAGTGGCTGGATGGCAGGGGTGCTATGATGGCCATCAGGATGATGGCACATCTCTTCTCCCAGGGGGTTCCTGATCTGCTCCCATTTCTCCTGCAGCTGGCACTGCTAAGTGTAGTGGGTAAATGCTCTGCTGTGGTGTGGTGCAGCATCCAGACTGGGGTCCTAATGTGGTGTCTGTTTCTGCTCTTGAGTCCAGCTTCACCATAGTGGGTAGAGAGCAGCTGTCAGTGGTAATAGAGCAAATTGTGTAGTCATGTGCTAAGAAAGCTGTTTTCACAAATGGGAGGAAGTGCTTTGGTCTGTTTGCTAGTCCGTCACACCGCACTAACAAAAGACCTGTGAATACTGGAAATATCCATTCTTCACCATCCAGAGGAGTGGCCCCACACATGTGTCTGTTCAATACCCAGACCGGAGTTTAGTCCATTTTTATTCCATTTTAATACATTTAAATGAATACCACCGTGAGTGACTCCAGCATGGAGCACTATAGGTATAGGAACCTCCCAGTGCAGCCTCAGAGCAGGTTGCCATTGCTGAGGGGTTTTTCTCCTCTAGATCTTTTGTCTATAAAATTTCTGGGTTGTCCCTCAACATCTCATAGAACTGGCATTCTGGAAGGCTCTGGCTTTGCTGACCAGAAGAGTGTCCCTGCAGGGAGTGTAAAGCCTAGTGAGTATGTCACCGTCTATCACTAGAGTTGAGTGTGAAGAAAGCTCTGCAGGATACGGCGGTGGCTTTCTGGAATCCTGGAAGCTCCACCAACATAGCAGTACTCCTCAGCTGTAGTTTTCCCCGGTTGCCTAATGCAGTGGGTTATGTGACTCTCATCTCATGCCTGTGGAAAGTAACTGCCTGGAAGAAGCAGCTGAGTCCCTGGATGGGATCAGTCAGCAACACTGTCATCTGGGGGAGCATGTGTGTGCCCAGATAGAGAGCTTGATTGTGAACACATGTTTGGACTTGCCTGGAAACAGTGCTTATAGTTTAATGGTGCCATTTCATTTCTGAGGAGAAAAGTTTGGAACAGGAAGTAGAGTGAAGCCTCAGAACTCCATGATGACAGCAACTCTCCTTTAGCATGGTCAGTCCCCAACCTCATAATCATGTCACATTGTCTGGGAACCACTGTGATTCTTCCCAGACCTTGCCATTCAGAGCTCCATTTTTGCCCTAGCAGCAAAGCTGAGCGATGGCATACAGGTCCATGGAAAGACCCTCAAAGAATGTGATAGGTTGTTTCTTGTGCAGACCATTCACCATGGGAGACATGGTCAGGAGCTTCCTAGGAATTGGACCAAGTTTTTGACTGTCTTAAAGGACAGCATAAGGGCTCACAAATGTGCTGTCCCACTCAAGCTCCCTACACTCCCTTTCTTGGGATTTGGTTGGTATCTGAGTATCACTTAGTATTCCAAGATGCCAATTACCAGCTGAGGCTGATGCAGTTGCTACTCAGGTCTTGTTTCTAGCATCCTTGTATGGAATAGCTACTTGTCACATGCCCAGCAATCATTTGTATCTGAAGTTTTACTGCCTCCTTATAATTTTGTGTTTGTTTTTACAGCGAGTGTTGAAAAAATAGACCTGAAGGGATTATCACACACGAAAAATGACAGAAGTGTTGAGTGTTCCTTTGAGGTAAGATGCTGTTTTTTCCCTTACCTTGGAGGTATTGAGGGGCACATTTGTCACAATTAGCCACTTTATGTACTGTAATAAAAGCTGTGCGTCTTGTAGAGCAATGGTGCTGAGTGAGATGAGCCTGGAGCCTGACTGGGGCAGGTGTCTTTGGAGTGGGCTAAGGTATTGGAGGACAGCCACCTTCTCAAGAAGAAGCTAAGCTCTAAAGAACATCAATTCAGTCCTTGTCACTTGTAACTAGGACAGTGGCTGAACCTGTTTGTGGCCTTCCTCCCTGGTTGCATTTACCCTGGGTCTAGAGAGAGTGAAATCTAGGCTATGACACTGGTTACTCTAGGACAGTAAGTACCCCTAGATGAGACACACATACATGCTGACTGCATAGCTGTGGCCACTTGGTCTGTATATAGAGGAATGTGCTCCTAACTGATGCACCATGAAGAAAGGGCTGTCTTGTGTGAGAGAAGCCGGCCATAACAAAGGCTTAGACAGTCCAAAGTTCCTTTTATTCTCTATTGTGGTGTTCAGGGAGGCAGTCCCAGACCTTCATCAGAACTCAGTCCTGGCTGACTCCAGCTTTTACTGTGTGTGTGTGTGTGTGTTTGCAGGATATAGTTTTTGACCTTGTGGTCCAAGATGGCAGCTGGGGCTCTAGTGCTCACTTGACAGTGGGCCGGATGCAAACTAGAGAGGAGGGACATGCTCAGGAGCAGCTAGAAGAGCTCCCACTTACATTTTGTTGACAAGAATTCAGGTTCTTGGTCTCACTTATCTGTAAAGGAAACTGGGAAATGCATTGCTGGCTTGTATCAGGGTTTTGTTACCCACCTGGCCTGGCAAGTTAGATATTTCTTAGACACTGTCCTCAGACATGGACAGATCATGAGAATTTGCCCTGGCAGTGCTGGGAAGTCCACTCAGAAGACACTCTTGTTTAGTACTGTGTGTGAGTCAGGGCTGTTTTTCTAGAGGTGCTGTGTGTTGAGAATCCTTTGTACCACAGGTAGGGTCTTTTCTGAACACAAGGAGAACCTTGGTATATGTTCTGGAGGCTGTTGACTGGTAGGTAACCCTGTAGCACCATGGACTCACCAAACCCCCAATGCTCAAGGTAGTGGGCAGCAGGTTTTACAGGACCCTGGACATGCTGTGGTAGCTAGCTACACACCTGGAAGCCTGGTGTCTCATGGTGTTTGAGGATGAGTTCAGTTCCCGGCAACCACATGGTGGCTCACAACCATCTATATTGAGATCTGGTGCCCTCTTCTGGCTTGCAGGCATACGTGCAGAAGAACACTGTATATATAATAAATAAATAAATCTTCTCTAAAAATGCAATCAGCTGGGCGATGGTGGTGCAGCCTTTAATCCCAGCACTTGGGAAATAGGCAGGCAATCTCTGTGAGTCTGAGAACAGCCTGGTCTACAGAGTGAGTAGAAAAATAAAGAAAGGAGAGGAGGGAGAAAGAAAGAGGGGAGAGAGAGAGAGAGAAAGAGAGAGAGAGAGAGGGAGAGGGAGAGGGAGAGAGAGGAGAGAGAGAAGAGAGAGAAGAGAGAGAATAAATTGGCAAAAGAAAAGATTTGGACAGAGTACCAAGAAAAAGGCATGGCTGGTAGTGATCATGTGTGGAAAGGTGTGCCAGCAGCCTCATAGCTGGGGCACAGTGTTAAAGCACTATGGAAGAGCTCTTGCCTATGGGAAGGGCTCACATGAGGAAGGCTGGCCATACTTGATTACTTGATAAGACTAGAATTCTGTGTGCTTCTACTGCTGGGAGGTGGGGGAGGGGAATGGCTTATGCATACTGGGCAAGTGACAACTTTGAAAAGGCAAAGGGACTCCTCAGTGCAGCCTTTGAATCCACATCTGCTGTAGACCCTCATTTACTTGTGTGCTGCACAACTTTATTTTTTTATTTTTTTATTTTTTTAGAGACAGGGTTTCTCTGTAGTTTTGCGCCTTTCCTGGAACTCACTTTGTAGACCAGGCTGGCCTCGAACTCACAGAGATCCGCCTGCCTCTGCCTCCCAAGTGCTGGGATTAAAGGCGTGCGCCACCACCGCCCGGCACAACTTTATTTGTGATGCTTCAGGATGCAAGATGAATGGTGTGAGTGTCAGCCCTAGGAACCTGGGTCCCCAGGGCTGTACTGTCCACGGTGGAATACTGCTCAAGAGAGGGGCACAGAGAGGCACAGTGACTCAGACTCTCCTCAAACAGGTGTATGCTGTGTAAGCCAGTCCTATGAAATAGAATATAATATATATATATAAAATATAATTCTATAAAATGCAAACTACTCCCTGGTGAGGGAGCATGTCAGAAAGCTTCTGTGGAAAGAGTGAAAGTCTGCTGAGGGTCTAGGGGTGATGTGCTCAACTGTCCTAAGTGGGAGATGTGTCACAGGTGCCACAACATCTGATCACACACTTGGGTGTGGCTCACCATCAACTACAATCAAAGGTGAACATTTTTGTCTTACTTCTTGATAGAGTCTAAGGTTTTGCTATGTACCCCAGGCTGGCTTTGAGTATGCCATTTTTGGCTTCAGCCTTCCAAGTGTGGCTTACCGTACTTGGTATCAAAATCTTACAATTTTGTTTGAGAATCAGCGTACTCCACAGACTAGTGGAGTAGAATAGAAAATGGTGAGAATAGTAAGTAAAAGCAATAGCTGCTTCACTGTGAGTTGAGCGCTGGACAGCTGAAGTGTCTGTTGGGCTCTGTGTGCTTAGGGAGAAGCCCAGAACTTCCTGCCCATCCTCATCTTTTGTGGTTCTCTAGATTCCGTTTGATGGCTGCCAGTATATCGTAGTTAGGATTTCTTTCTTTCTTTTTTTTTTTTTTTTTTTTTTTTTTTTTGGTTTTTCGAGACAGGGTTTCTCTGTGTAGCTTTGTGCCTTTCCTGGAAACTAGCTTTGTAGACCAGGCTGGCCTCGAACTCACAGAGATCCACCTGGCTCTGCCTCCCGAGTGCTGGGATTAAAGGCGTGCGCCACCACTGCCCAGCTCGTAGTTAGGATTTCTGTTGCTGAGATAAACACCATGACCAAAGAAAGCAACTTCAGAAGGAAAAGGTGAAAAGTTTATTTCAGCTCATAGCTCCCAGGTCACACTCTAAGGGAAGTGAGGACAGGAACTCAAGACAGGTACCAGAGACAGGAACTGAAGCAGAGGCTATAGAAGAATATTGCTTACTGGCTGCTTTCTTACAGTACCCAGGACCATCTACCCAGGGGTGACACCACCCAGCAGTGTGCTGGGCCCTCCCCCATAAGTCATTAACCAAGAAAATGCACTAGAGACTTGCCTACAGGCCAGTCTGCTGGAGTCACTTTCTCAGTTGAGGTTCGTTCTTCCCAAAATTACTCTAGCTTGTGTTGAGTTGACAAAAATCTGATGAGAACACAGTGTTTCCCAGCACTGGGTTACTGGATGGAGGTACTCAAGAAGCCCCTGCTGCAGGGGTGAACCTTCCTGCTCTTTTCCAAAGAGTTAGTGTTATTTTTGCTGCAACTGCACTTGCTAGGCCTGAGGAGACCCAGCCAGAGTTGCAGGAAGCAGATGGGATGTGGGGGGTGTGTCTGAAGAAAGTCAACTAACAGACTCTTCAGAAGCTTGCTCCCTACACCTGACGGTGTGCAGGAGGAACAGTGGAGGGGTGCCATTTCGGAAGCACAGTAACTGAGACTTTGACTTGAGTTCCAGGACACCGCTGTACAGTGCACCCCTCAAAAGGCATTGCAGTTACTGGTCTGTTGTGTCTTGTCTTAGAAAGTTTGTTTTCAGTTGAGAGCATTCTTTACTAGCCAGGCAAGGTGGTGCTGCCTGCACATGACTAGAGGGTGACCGGGCAACACAGGCAGCCCAATACTGAGCCTGATGCTTTTCTGACTCACTCGGGTCTGTTCTCTTAGAGTTGTGGTTTTGTTTTGTTTGTTTTTAAGCAAGGTCTCTTTGTGTAGCCTAGGCAGGACTGGAATTTTTCATCCTATCTCAGCATGGGGTTATAGGAATTGTCAAGAGTTTTGGAGTTAGATGTGTGAACCACTGCCCTTACTGAGTCATCTATTTTTAAGAGTGTTGCAGGATCTTAGCCAGGTGGCGGTGGCACACGCCTTTAATCCCAGCACTGGGAGGCAGAGCCAGGCAGATCTCTGTGAGTTCGAGGCCAGCCTGGTCTACAGAGTGAGATCCAGGACAGGCACCAAAACTACACAGAGAAACCTTGTCTCAAAAAACCAAAAAAAAGAAAGAAGGAAGGAAGGAAGGAAGAAAAAGAAAGAAGGAAGGAAGGAAGGAAGGAAGGAGAAAGAGAAAGAGAAAGAAAAAGAAAAAAGAAAGAAAAGAAAAGAGTGTGGCGGAGTCTTAAGGACTAGCCAGGCAATACCATTTTGATGCTTCCTGTTGGAGGTGTCTCATCTTTGCCCTAACCCACCCCCTGGTGGTTGATAATGGGCTGGTCAAGTTTCTTGTTCGTTCTTTCGTTCGTTCTTTTCTTTTTTTGAGACAGGGTCTCTCTCTATGTAGTCTTGACTGTCTATGTAGACCAGGCTGGCCTTGAACTTATAGAGACCCTCCTGCCTCTGCCTCCTGAGTGCTAGGGTTTAAGGAGTATGCCATCATGCCTGTCCTAGCCATAGCTTTCCTGAGGGATATGGGAGCATGCTTACCTGGTTTCACTCTGGCTGGATCTCTGGCAGCATCAGTGTCTCCAGCCAAAGGTTTTAGACTTCTGGAAGAGTCTTAGTGTCACCTGCCTCATCCATCTTAGAGGATTCAGTCTCCCCTGGCAACATGTCTCTGCTCAGCTTCTCTGGTTTTTAGTGTGGATGTTTGGAGGTTTATTTGCTTTGGGCTCTCCTCCAGATCCTTCCCTGGGGCCTGTGTTGCGTGCTGTGCCAGACCATTGCTCGCCACCATTGCCTCAGCCAAGCTCTTCTTTCTGTTCTTGGCATCAAGTCCCCTGAGAATGTGGATTGCAGGCCTTCATCCTCCGTGTTGTTTTTCCTTAAGATGACTGGGAGTTTGGGAAGAGTGGGGGATCTTACAAGGTACCTTGTAGGCTGTGTGGGGCCAATCTGCCCAGCACCTGGCTGGTACAGAAGAAAGCACATGCCATTTTGGTGCTCTAGACAAAAGTACTGCATGTGAATAGGAAATGAGGCTGCATTTGGAGCTGCCCTGAGCCTGTGTGTTGCTCATTTCTTGTGTGATAAAAGATTCAAGTCAGCCCCAGTATGGCTCTGCAGCTCTTGGAGGAAGTAATTGGTGCATTGTGCCTCAACTTTCCTGCAGTACCTGCTGGTGGAGTGGGAAGGAATGGGCTCCTGGAGGAGGGTGGCAGATGCTAGCTCTGATTGGATGCATTAACATCTCCATGCCTTTGTGGTGGCCTGTCTTCCTCCAGTACCTTGTGTTGTGTGGAGAGTGAGTGAGGCCAGTGCAGCCTTGGACCCTGGCCAAAGCTAGGCAACTTGGAAGTGAACCAGATCCCTGAGACCAGGCTGTGAATCCCCCACTCTGTGTTCTGGGCTGTGAGGAACTCAGGAACACACACAGGGCAAGCCATACCATGGCAGGGGTTAGACTGTTCTTTCAGCATGGCTGTCGTACTGCCCTTGTCTGACTGGGCTTTGTGCTTTCCTTGGGTCTGATGTGGGAAAAAAGACTCCTGCTAGAAACAGATTGCCAGCTGTCTCTACTCAAGGCTCTGGGTGACTTAATCTTCAGTCTTTAATCTGGGATGTCAGGGTTGATGTGGCCCAAACTGAGGAACCCCAGCTTTGTGGGAGGGTTGGAAGCCAAGAAGCACTGAGGTATCTTTCTACAAAGTGCACCCAAGTTGGGATGGAAGCTACACTCCTACAGCAGGTAGCTCAGAGACTGTGGTTGCCTCACCTGTGATGTCATGGGTCGTCTTCTCTCCATTTGCTGTGGCTTTGGGAGAGCTGCCACACACTGCTGATGGTGAAGCATGCAGATCCATGTGCATCTCACAGATGAGAGGAACATGATTGAGCCCTCCCAGGTCAGGGCTGTCTCAGCTACACATGGAAGGGATTAGGGGCTTGGCATCTTGTGCTCTTGCCTCCACACCATGGTAAATGTGATGTGTCTCTTTTGGGCAATGACTTCTGGGTTTTAGGCAAAATTTGTGTGTTTTGTATCTCCAAGTTGGCCTATTCTTCATGCCTGCTGTCTTCGCCTTTTTTTGTTGTTTTTTGTTTTTTGAGACAGGGTTTCTCTGTAGTTTTGCGCCTTTCCTGGAACTCGCTTTGGAGACCAGACTGGCCTCAAACTCACAGAGATCCACCTGCCTCTGCCTCCCAAGTGCTGGGATTAAAGGCGTGCGCCACCACCGCCCGGCCTGTCTTTGCCTTTCTAAGTGGGTTCATGGTGTCCTTTGCACATGTTGCCGCTACCCCCCCCCCCCCCCCCCCCCCCAAAAAAAAAAAACCTCACACATATACACCTGAGAAGTAGCTGCATTCAGGCTGCATAGCACTGTTGTGAGCAGTAGGCTTGTTGCATTCAAGAAGGGATGACAGGAGAGCTCAACCAGTGCCAGGAGCTTTGTGAAGTCACAAGATGATGCTGGCCCCAGTGCCATGGGCTAAAGTAAGTATTAAGCCCACAGGCATGTGCAGCTTCTGCCTCCAAGCCCTGCTCACCTCTCAGATTCTCTTGGCCTGGTGCAGCCCTCCTGTAGAGGACCTCTCCTGTTCCACATTTGTCATCTGCCTGAAGGCCCAAGCTAGGCCTGGGCTCACGTTTTCACATAGTCGCAGCAACTGTGTGGCACAGAGACCTGCTTCCAGAGGAAAAGGGTGATTTCTGGTGACTTGATGCTCTGTCCAGAGTCACATGCACCATGCAGAGAAGAAAGCATGCCTGGTGCACATGGGTACTTAGATGGCAGAGATGCCCTAGGAGTGGCCCCCATGCTCTAGTGACTTGGTAGTATGTGAATGGACTTGGATTATGTGACTTTTGTCTTTTTAGCAAGTCAGGAGTGTGAGTGTACCATTCACCAGGCAGTAGTTACTAGCTGTGGGCCCTAGGCAGCTGGAATCTGAGTATGTGGTATCTGTTTGTTAAGACTTGTATATTTTTTTTAAGGTCTTATGGTCTGATTCTTCAATAACATCAGTAACCAAGTCTTCCTCAGAAGTGACTGAATTTATTTCAAAGGTAAGGTGACCAAGGGCTCTTCAAGCAGTGAAAACTACATGGTGCAGTGATACCAGTGGCTTCTATCCTTGACCTAGTCATGACAGTCAGCAGAGAGGTTCTGGGATCACAAGCATGAGCCACCCCACGTAATTTATCTTTTGACAGCATTGACAGTAGTCTCCCTGTCCCTGTATTTTCTCATGTCTTTGAATTTTTTATTTCAATTTTTTTAAAAATTTTTATTATATAGGCATTATGTTTGGATGGCTGCAGAATCTGAGGAAACAGTAGTCATGCTTATAGTGGATACTCGTCTCCTGCTAGGCCAGCAGTGAGGTCCTAGCAGGGTCAGTGTAGACAGGAGTGGCTGGATCTGGACATGATTGTAACATCTTTGATGGGCTGCTGCTTCCTGGGTCTTGAGCTGCCAGAGCTTTGCTTAACACTCAGCTTTCAGCTGTCCCAATACACCGGAGGGGCTCTTCCTGTTGGATCCTCTCTCAAGGATGGGCTGCCAATGCCCATTACCTGGTGCTAGACTTACGGAAGGGTGAGAGAAGGATTCTCCACTCTCCTGGCCTGGTCGTGATCCTAGGGCTGTTGTGCCTGGGTTTTGGAGGCTAGACTTTGTCATAACCTCAGCCCCTTCCCAGTAGTAGATGACCTCTGCTTGTGTGTTAAATAGGGTCCCGCACCCATGGGGTTTCCTGAAAGTCCTTGCTCCAGGGCCAGAGATGTTTGCTTTTCTCTTCCACCCAAAGCACTGCTTGCCTGAGAAACTGGGGTCTTTTTTATACACTGGGTCAGGAACATATCATGTTCCGGTTTCTCCCCTAAAGGCTAAGAACCTTTGCCTTAGAGATAAGGCCCTGGGAGTTTAGATCTGTTCCCAGGGTACTTGTGCCTGAAAAGTCTAGCACCAGGTAATGGGCATTGGCAGCCCATCCTTGAGAGAGGATACAACAGGAAGAGCCCCTCCGGTGTATTGGGACAGCTGAAAGCTGAGTGTTAAGCAAAGCTCTGGCAGCTCAAGACCCAGGAAGCAGCAGCCCATCAAAGATGTTACAATCATGTCCAGATCCAGCCACTCCTGTCTACACTGACCCTGCTAGGACCTCACTGCTAGCCTAGCATAATGGCCCAGGGGGATATATCCTTCTTATCCCATCTGTGCTGACCATAGTATGGCATCGAAGAGTCTTTGAATTTTCTTTGTAGTCCTGGTCCCTGTTCGACTTCTGGTCAGGAACTGGCCTGTGGCTCAAACTATGTTAGACTCAGGGATAGTTAGGATGAGTAGATTGTGGGGTATCTCCTGCCTGTGGTGGGGTGTCTTACATGTGTATAGAACCTAAGCAGCTGGAAAGGTCCAAACTGTCCTACCACAGATGTTCCAGAGGCCCCTTGTCAAGCCCCTGTGGCAAGGCAAGGTGCTGGTGTGCTGTGGAGACGACCTTCTGCCTTGTCTTTTCTTTCAGTTATCCCAGCTCTACCCTGAAGAGAACTTGGACAAACTCATTCCTTGCTTGGCTGGCCCAGATTCCTTCTATGTGGAGCGCAACCATGTGGATTTGGAAGCAGGTCTGAGGTAAGTAAGGATCTTGGCTAGGTGGCTGTGACTGCTCTGGTCTTTCCTTTATCTCCAGGACTATCTGTTAGAAGAGTTTGAAGGATATGGAAAAACCTCAGGGTGAGTTGAGGATGAGGTGAAGGAATCAAAAGCTTGTGCCGTGTGGGGTTTTGCTGTCCTTGTGAGATGATATGAGCAATCAGCTGAGTCATTTGGTTAAAAGCTGAAGCTGTGGCTGGGTGGTGGTGGTGGTGGTGGTGGTGGTGGTGGTGGTGGTGGTGGTGGTGGTGGTGCACACCTTTACTCCCAGCAAGCACTCAGGAGGCAGAGGCAGGCAGATCTCTGTGAGTTCGAGGCCAGTCTGGTCTACAGAGTTGAGTTCCAGGACAGCCAGGGCTGCACAGAGAAATCCTGTCTCAGGGAAAAGAAGAATCTGAAGCTTGTCAGATTGAAAATAGGTTCTCTGAATCTTCAGTCGTGGCCCACACATGGTCCATGCAGTGCTGAGGCTCACTAGTTCTGTTCTGTTGTTTGGAGACTGAGGATGACCTTGAATTTGTAATGCTCCTGTTTCCACCTCCCAAGGGCTGGGATCAAAGTGTGCCCCAGTATACACAGTTGATGTGGTGTAAGGATGGAACCCAGGACTTCATGTATGTTGGGTAAAAACTCACCAACTGAGCCACAGCTATGGCCTCTTGCTGGTTCTCTAGTGTGTAAGAGGTCATGGTCCTCTCTGAGCCCTGGGACCAATGTCTTCACATTGTGACTTAGTTGGGGCAGACTCAGGAGCACTATGGTTCCAGTGCTCATGTCACAGACTCTTGAGTCGCTCGCTGTAAGAGACAGGAAGGGACTTGAAGGGAACTATATAAGATGAGTAAAAGCAAGACGAGCATCAGGCTGTAGGACTAGCTTGTTTTTTCTCTAATTCTCATTCTCTTGGGTAAAGTTTTCAGATTTTCCCACTGTTGTGTGTGTGTGTGTGTGTGTGTGTGTGTGAGAGAGAGAGAGAGAGAGAGAGAGGGAGACTTCAGTGCTGACAAGCTGCTGTGTTACTCCCCAGGTACTTGGCTTCCATACCTTCACACACACTGAAACATGACCACGTCAGGAAGTTCTTCAGCACTTCGTCTCCCACCCAACAGCTCCAAAGTCCAAGTAAGTTTGTGAAATGGTTAAAAAATAAAGTTATATTATTGTCTGTCAGTTTCTATGACACTTTTCTTGTACTTTGTAGGTCCTGGCAACCCCTCCCTTCCTAAAGTAGGTGCCATGATGGGCGTGTCTGGGAGGTGAGTGGTCCTCTCTAGCCAGCATGGCCAGCAAACTGCCTCCTCCTATGTAGCTGTCTGCCCGACCTATATCTTGGATAATGATAGGAGAGGAATTGGGTAGAAAGAATCCAGTTTTTGGCTTCCCAGTTTCATGGTTTTTTCACAGTGCTGAGTAGCTTGTTTTAACTCATGATTTATGGGTATCATCTTGTTTTTTAGAAGTGACAGACACCAGGTAGCTCAGCTGAATCTCTGGTGCACATGGACACACACACACACACAGCATGCGCACACAGAAGCGTCCCTGTGGGCACTGCCTTGTGAAGAGGGAAGTTGTGATGGGGATGGTAGTAGACAGGACACTGATTAGGCTCAAGTGTGCCATGAGCTGAACACCAGATGCCCTAAGGGAGTAGGTGCCAGCATGAGATACCTCTAACCTCCTGGTGCCAGCTGGCAGTCTGTAGAGCAGTGCCTGTACTCTATTGTCCCCTGTCCTGCAGGCCTGTGTGTGGAGTGGCTGGCATTCCATCCTCGCAGAGCAGCGCCCAACACCACCTGCCGCACTCGGCCAGCGCATCTGCTTCCCTGCCCCACTGCTCCCACACAGCGGGGACAGGCTCGGCACTGGCTTACCGGACCCAAGTGGACAACTCGCCTACCATCCTGATGCCCTCTAGTCTGCAGGCCCCTCAGCCCCAGGAGCAAAATGGGATTTTAGACTGGCTTAGGAAGCTGCGTTTGCACAAGTATTACCCCGTCTTTAAACAGCTCACCATGGAGAAGGTATGTTGGCTACTCAGAGGGTCACACCCTCCAGTGTTCCTCTTTAGCCTGTGCCCTGTCCTCATTCCTAGGGGTGTCAAGAACTTGGGTGGTGATCATATAGCTTCGTGTTAGAGGGGACCAAGATTTCACCCCCAGGCTGCCTGAAGCCAAAACAAACCAAAGCAGGATTTGTCACAAGCACACACATAGCTTTTCTAGATGTTTCAGGTCTTGACAAACCAGGGACTCTGTGACTTCAGTTGGCTCCATCCCTCAAGCTGCTGTAGGCCAGTGCTCATGCAGATACCACTTTCTCCTCTTTGAAGCAGCTCCGGTGTAGCTCGAGCCCCCGTGTGGCCAGCTCACAGAGTCATTGCCTTGGACACAAGCAAGTGGGGCTCAGACAACCAAGGCTACGTTGACCGGTTTGACATGGAGTCATGAAGAGAGATGGCCTGCTCAGAGAGCAGTGTTTTAGTGGACAGTTTTGACTAGAGATGCCTGTTGATCTTTTCTAACCTCAATGCCACTGGCTAAGCCAAATGACACCTGCACAAGGGGTTTGAAGTCTCAGCTCCCCCTGCTGGACAAAATGGCTCTGTAATAGCTCCACACATCTAAAAGGCGACTGTTAAACCTGGAGATGGAGCTTTGGAGGTGGGGAAACACAGTGTTTCTGCTTGCCATGCTGCTGAGGGGCCCTGCAGCTTTTTTTTTTTTTTCTTTTTTTTTGAGTCAGGATTTCTCTGTGTAGCCCTGGCTGTCCTGGAACTCACTTTGTAGACCTGGCTGGCCTCGAACTCACAGAGATCTGCCTGCCTCTGCCTCCCTAATGCTGGGATTAAAGGCATGTGCCACCACTCCCACTGGGTCCTTGAATCTTAAGGACAAGAGATTCTCTAACATTGGTCATAATCAGTTTGAATTTTCTACTCAGAATTATGATGAGATGTCTGAATCCCACAGCTGGCTGTGATGTGGTAAGCCACTTGTGTTGCCAGTTGTCCTGGGGCGTCAGGCCTGTGGGCTAGTTACCACTTTGTCTGGATAGTGCCTTCTTTCTAGATTATTTGGGTCCTTACCAAGCTACTGAAGGTTTGCCAAAAAGAATGGTCTTAAGGCAACTGTGCTTTGCTTCTGTGTGCAGAGGCTGGTGCACGCCAGTGAGACCTTCCCCAGAGTACAGGGACAGCGACAGCCTTCAATTATAATAGTGGTTCAAACTGTCCGAGGTGTGCATGACTGGGGTGCAGGGACCAGAGGGCTGCAGGGTGCCTGTCAGCTGCACTTGTGGTGAGGTACAGAGGAGAGAGGCCACAGCTCTTTCAAGCAATGGGAAATGGTGTCCATATCTCTAGTCCATTGTTTGCTAGCCCTTTGATCTGTTACCCTGCACTCAGATCCAGGTTTGTTGGTTTCAGAGTCCTCATGGTCATCTCAGTAACTGTCCTTTGTTTGTCCTATGCAAGTTCCTGAGCCTTACTGAAGAAGATCTGAATAAATTTGAGTCCCTCACCATGGGAGCAAAGAAAAAGCTCAAGACGCAGTTGGAGCTGGAAAAGTAAGCATGAAATCATTTGATATATGCTGGGTGTTGGTGCCACACATCTTTAATCCCAGCACTTGGGAGGCAGAGGCGGTGGATCTCTGTGAGTTTGGAGCCAGCCTGGTCTACAGAGCTAGTTCAAGAACAGCGAGAACTACACAGAGAAATGCTGTCTCGAAAAAACAAAAACAAACAAAAAAAGAAAAGAAAAAGAAAAAAGAAATTACTTAATGTGTGCTTTTCTGGGTGTGGCCACACTGCAATCCTAGCACTGAGGCTGAGGCAGGAGGATAGGGATTTGAGTTTGAGGTAACCTGGGCTACATAGTGTCTCAAAACACCAAATCAACATAGAATAAATTGTGTTCATTTTAGTTTCTCATGTGCCAAGCAGTGTTATAACCTGCAAGTTTTTAAATGTCAGGGTCTGGGTTACTTTCTTTCTTACCCAGTCCTCAGGTGATGCCCAACATCACCTGGGAGGACCTGCCTGGGAGGTGCACTGGAAGCTGGAGTATGGTGGAGGAGGAGCTTTCTGACTGCGCTTATCATTCACAGGGAGAAGTCCGAGAGACGGTGCCTCAACTCCTCAGCCCCATCCTTGGTCACCAGCAGTGGAGTGGCCCGAGTCACCCCCACCAGCCACGTGGGGCCTGTGCAGCCTGGGCGTAGCAGCCATGCTGCAGGTGTGTGAGGGCCTGTGGTTCAGATGTATGGCGTGTGTACAGGTGTGGTATGGTATTCTTTTGGATCAGAATTAGACTTCAGATCACTCTTGTTTTTCATTTACAGGTTTTAAATGTTTACACTTAGTCTTCTTCATCCTGACTCTATAGTATTTACTACAGGAAAGTAATTGTATGGTTGGCCTTAGCTGCCAGACACTGATGCCTAGCCTCAGATTATTTGGGCAGCATTGTTAGACCTTGAACTCTCATGCTGTCAGAGGAAGCAAGATACAGTTCAGAGAGGTGAAAGGCCCTTGCCACGCAGGTGCCTGTCATGAACTGTAGCCTGGTGCCCTTTCTCTGACCACTGTTGTCCTTCCTGTCTTCCCATTGGAGACTTGAGAGGCTTAAGGACTTGGGTTTTCAGCCTCCATCCTCCTCCGCCCCTGTTCCCTGTACGTGGAAGAGGCTGGGGACATACGAGTTAATGGCTGTGTTTTCCTGCAGGAAAGCACTGAGCATTGCTTTATTCATCAACAGGATGTGATGAATAGCTAGAGTCATGGCAGATGGGTAAGGAATAAATGTCCAGCTTGGACAATTCAGCCTGCTATAGGGAGCCTTCATGGCAGATAATACAGTGCTGTTCTGCACTCTTCAGGATGGAACAGGGCCCCCACAGTGACTGGGCATCAACCTTGCAGTGTGATAGCCTGAGTCAGAAATACCCCTTTGGTCTGTCACCTAACAATATGACCTTAAGTGGTTGGTTCAGTTTTCAAGATTCTTGGAGTGTAATCTGACCATGATTGGGGACCATGTTTCCTAGTGTTCCTAGCAGGGTTCTTTTGCCTGTGGGCGAGTGCCATAGAGCTATTGACCTCTACCTGCCTTCTCCACAGAGCTGCGGGTGGAGGTGGAGCCACCGGCTCACCAGCTGCCCCGGGAAGGCAGCTCCTCTGAGTATTCCAGCTCTTCCTCTAGCCCCATGGGTGTGCAGGTGCGAGAGGAGAGTTCAGACAGCGCTGAGGAAAGCGAGAGACGTAAGACACCTGTGCTGTGGCCTGTTTCTGTCCCACCTTCTGAGCTCGCTCCTGGGTGCACGCTGTGCTAACAGTCTTTTCCGTCCTCAGGTGTGGACATACATGTTGAGGGTACTGATAAGGAGAAGCCTGTGATGTTGCTGACTCACTTCCCATCCAGCTCTGCCAGACCCACGGCCCAGGTTCTGCCTGTGCAGAATGAGGCTGGCTCCAGCCCTGCAGGTCACCATCCCCTGCCCCCACAGCTGATGCCTGCAGCTTCACACCTGGCACCTGTCCGCATGCTGAACTCAGTGCACAAGTCGGACAGAGGCAGCACGGATGTGAAGCTCCTCTCATCCTCTGTCCACTCCCTTCTGTCCTTGGAAGAAAGGAACAAGGGGCCTGGCCCTAGAAGTGGCACAAAAGTAGACAAGAGCTTTGGTGGCCCTGTGCTGGACGCACTGCCCTCAGCGGCACCCCATCCGCCAGTACAGGTCCTCTCGGGCCTTGTAGAGAACAACTCTGTGTCACCCACGGTCTCCTTTGGTCCCCGGGCCAAAGTTGTGCATGCAGCCACACTGGACAGGGTGCTGAAGACAGCACAGCAGCCAGCCCTGACTGTGGAGACCAGCTCAGCCGCCACAGGGACACCGAGCACCGTCCTGCATGTGGCCCGGCCGCCCATCAAGCTGCTGCTGTCCTCCTCCGTCCCTGCTGATGCTGCCATCTCTGGGCAGACTTCTTGCCCCAACAACGGGCAGATCAGCGTGCCCCCTGCAATAATCAACCCCCGGACTGCTCTGTATACAGCCAACACCAAAGTTGCCTTCTCTGCAGTGAGCAGTGTGCCTGTGGGCCCACTGCAGGGCAGCTTCTGCGCCAACAGCAACACTGCCTCCCCCAGCAGCCACCCCTCCACATCTTTTGCGAGCATGGCCACTCTGCCCAGTTGCCCTGCCCCCAGCTCCAGCCCTGCCCTCTCCTCTGTCCCTGAAAGCAGCTTCTACAGCGGCGGTGCTGGCAGCAGCTCCCCAGGAAACATTCCTGCCTCAAGTCAGAACCACCACCACCACCATCACCATCAGCAGCCCCCTGCACCCCCACAGCCTGCGCCGCCCCCACCTGGCTGCATTGTGTGCACGTCTTGTGGGTGCAGTGGCAGCTGTGGCTCCAGTGGCCTGACTGTCAGCTATGCCAACTACTTCCAGCACCCATTCTCCGGGCCATCCATGTTTACCTTCCCTTTCCTACCCTTCAGCCCCATGTGCAGCAACGGCTACGTCAGCACCCAGCAGTACGGTGGTGGCTCTGCCTTCCCTGTTGTGCACGCGCCCTACAGTGGCAGTGTGACTCCGGACCCCGTCCTAGGTGGGCAATCCACTTTTGCGGTGCCACCCATGCAGAACTTCATGGCTGGGACAGCAGGGGTGTACCAAACCCAAGGCCTGGTGGGCAGCACCAATGGCTCCAGTCACAAAAAGAGTGGAAATCTGTCGTGTTACAACTGTGGGGCTACTGGCCACCGTGCTCAGGATTGCAAGCAACCGTCCATGGACTTCAACCGGCAAGGTAAACATAGGGAGGTGCTGGATTTTCCTTGCTGTGCTGGTTGTGGCTCCTGGGAGAAGTACCCATGGCTGCTTGGCTTTTTGAAAACATAGTAAACTTGTTTTTAAAGCCAACTTATTTAACCTGGGTTCAGTTCCTGTACCCATTGTTAGGCCATTCACAACTGCCTGTAATTTCGGCTTTAGGAAATCTAGAGCCCTCTCCTGGCTTCTGTAGGCACTCAAACATATGAGCACACACAGACACACACACACACACACACACACACACACACACACACACACACACACACACACACACACCTTAAAAACAATACACCTTATTTAAGCAGAATGAGCTGGATGGAACTTCCAGGGCTGTTGGAGCAGCCAGTGATTGCTGCCATCTCCTGGAAGATATGTGAAAATTCAGGGCGGGGCAGTGGTTAGGATTTCCTTGGCCAGCACAGCCACCTCTGCTGGTCTGTCCATTCAGGGCAGCTATATGCTCTTGTGTCTTGCTGACTGGCTGCAGCTTCCTTCCCCTTGTCTCTTATTTCCTATAGTTTGTCTTTGTTATTTAAATTTAAATATGTCTACCATATTAGACCAGGCTTATTCTTTTGTTGTTGTTTTATTGTCTGGCTTTGAACTCATGTTCCTCTTGTCTTGGCCTCCAGAGTGCTGGGATTAACATTATTACCACACACCTGGGTCACTAGGTTTACAATTGCTGTTTGTTTTGAAAAAATTACAGTAAAGTTAGGAAAGTTGGTCCCACTTTGCCCATCTCTGGGCTCCCTGCACCTCCATCTCAAGTTGTGCAGTTTCCTGTTGATCTTCACCACCTAGAGAGCTTTTGGAAGCTGAAACCTGTGACCTGAGAGATCCAATGGTGGTACAGGTGGCTGCCTCCCTTCCCAGAGCTGATCTGCACCTTCTAAGTCCAGGCCTTTCCTGCCCGCGTGGGTGTGCTGCCAGCCCGGGTACACGGTCTGTGTCCAGAGAAAGAGATCCAAGGCGTGGAGAGGTGGTCTGTGCTGCTCTCGTGGTCACTTCTCCCAGAGTCTTGTAAACCCATGACATCCAGCTGTGCATGAGTAGTCAGTCCTAAGTGGAGCTGGGGAAGGTGGGTGGTGTGTGCACTTCTACAACTGACTCGGGCTTCACCCTCCTCTCTCTTTCTCTCTCTCTCTCTCTCTCTCTCTCTCTCTCTCTCATTCTTTCTCTCCAGGAACTTTTAGGTTGAAATATGCCCCTCCAGCAGAAAGTCTGGACTCCACGGACTGATCCTTTTTTTTTTTTTTTGGCAACAGAACATTTTATTAAGCCATGAAAAATCACATAGAGAACTGAAGTCAAGTTGCTATGGAGCCATGGAGACCTAAGGAAAAATCACATAGAAAACTGAAGTCGAGTTGCTGTGGAGCTTAATATTTTTAACCCAAAGGTGCTTTACTTTACTATACTGGATAGAGAATCTAGCATAGAAGTGCGTCAAACTCGATTTCATTGCCAAAATCCTAGTTTGGAGCTTGATATAAGGACTGCCTAGTAGACATCTCCACAGCAGTGATGTGGTCACCACACCGTTGTTGCAGTATGGAGACCTGTCTCCTGAAGATCGCTGGTCCTTCTAGGCTCACACATAAATTCCAGGGCAGCTATGCACGACCTGAGTCAAGACTGCAGGTCGGAGTTCTCTCAAGTGGAGTTCCCTAGTCGGATCCAAGACCCCTTTGGGCTAGGAAGTGCCAACTGGATTTTGCCGTTTCCTAGAGTGGGAGCCTCATGTCTGGCTTCTTAAGGATTGCACTACCTGACAAGGACCCTTTCAGTCTGGGAGGCAGACTCTTCTGGGACCCGACAATGTAGGGGACTCCATCAGTGGGCATTGGAGTTGGCACCAGCAGGCTGCTCGGCCTAGTACACCCAGAGGTCGCAGGGTGTCCTTCTGCAGACACTTGGAGCAGTTCCAGGTTTTTAATATTTTTTTCTGTAAACAAATTTACACAATATTAGTAGATAAGACATAGCTCACTCTTGACAACTTCGTTTCTAAGGGTCCAAGTCCCAGGGAATCCAGTCACCGAGGCTTGAGACCACCCCTCCCATTGGTGGCTTTGAGCCTGCTCTCTCCAAACAAGAACCAACTCCTGAGGACATGGGAATGACTCGACTTTGTGAGTTGGCTTTGACCGATGCTCCTCATCCTTCAGGAAGCTGGCAAGTTGTCGTGTCTCATGGCTTCCCCAGGACCCCAGCCCCAGAGCTTACTGCTGATGAATTTACACTTGAGACAGACATTCAGCAGTAATACAGTCCTGTGATTTATGAACAAAAGACTGGAAACTGTCAGCTTCTTTTGTGGTAGGCTGTGTGTTGATAGTTAATTCCGTTAAAATTGCCTGGAAAACTTCAGTAGAGAGATGCAAGACTCCTCGAAACCACTCACCAGTTATAGTCCAGACCAGGGGTGGGGGTGGGTCCTCACTCCTCAACAGGGTATGAACGTTTCAACCCACCACAACGGAGGAAGCATGAGGGGCTTAGACCTTCGAGGTTAAAGGGAATTTTATGCTCAAATATTTAAAATGCTGAAGCCTTCGGTGTTAAAAAATTAATGGTTAAGATCTTGCCAAGGATTTTCCAGCTTCGTATTTATGGAGAAGAAAATCTCAGTCCTTAGACCATTCTTCAGATGGGACAATCACCCTCATGCAAAATTAGTGTAAATCACAAAATACCCTATAACTGGAGACGCTGTGATGCAAGGCTTCATATTCATATTCTAAGATGGGCTTTCTATCCGTGGAGACCCACACGGAAGGCTTGAGTGTTGTCGATTCTATGCAATGCAGGATTGATAGACCTCTGTTCTGTCCATGGCACACAGTATCACATCTGTTCTGAGGTGATGGTGATGAGGTGTTATGGGATGCTCTGTTGATCTCTCACTCAGTAACACTACAGATGTCCAATACAAGAACTGACACAACTTTGCCTTAAAGAGCACCAGACTGGGATTGGTCGCATTGTGTTAATAAGGAAGACTTAGAGTGTTCATTGATGTTTACGATTTTAATATTTCTGAAGGCCGTTACAGTGGCCTGGATATGTGCTGAAAGCCAAACTTTTAAATTTTTTGGTTTTTTTAAACAAAGAAATATTTTAAATAAATCCTATTTCAACACAGAAATTGTTGAAAACTGTCTCATAGCAAAAGAAAAAAATCATATTTAAGTTTTTTGTTTTGTGGTCAGTATAGGGAATGGAAGTGTCTTGTTACCCTTTCAGCTGTTAACCTGAAAGACAGCAGTCTGCTGTGGCAACTCCCACAGGACTTGGCATTCAGCTGAGGCAAGTGAGCCCCAGCACCATCTCTGCTGTCCAGACGACAGAAGTCTGTGTCTGGAAGCCGCCGATTGTCTTTGGAAGAGCTTGTGTGGTGTGGCATTTCTGTGAAGCCGGCAAGGATTATATCACTCAAAGGAGCATGCACAACATGGAATCGTGGGCAGATGATTTGTGGGTGGGGCTCACTCCCATAGCCTGTAGAGGCCATCAGCATGGCCAACACTTATTTCTTCACAGGGAGACTTGTTACACACCGAACAGACCAACCCTTTCCAGTCATTTTCCTAAAACTGCTGTGTCAGATGGCAGTGGTACCCAGGTGGGCATAGCCCCGGGACTGCGGCGTCAGTTCTAATCCTGTGTTAACATCTCAGGGTAGGAAGTGGGATATTCAGATAGGAAGGAGGGCACAATGTTGGGACAAAACAGCTATGTGACCTTTTTGTTGTTTAAGCAAACTACTCAATTTTCTACCTTACTTTCTAGTTTTTATTTCATGCTTGATAGCGAAAATTGGAAAGTGTTTTAACGTTGAAAACTCCTAACTTCTGAAGAGCACTGAGGAGTGGGAGCTAGCTCTTACAATAAACACAAAATACTTCTTGAACATATATATGGTTGGGTATTAGGAAACCAGCGGCACGCTCATCTCGCAAAGATGACAGCAGCTGGCCTGTTCATGCAATAGTTAGCAGCTTCCGTGTGGAGCTCCAGTCAGGCTTCCGGTCCTTCGTGCAGGTCAGCCTGGGGTGTACCACACGCACGTCAGAGGCATTCGCAGTGGTGGTACCTTCGCCTACATGTGTGCCATGACAGTCCCTTGAGGACAGCCCGATGGGAACTGGGTCTCTCTCCGCACTCCGTCCCTGTCACTCTATCTTGCTTCCCTGGCATTTGGTCTGACATGTGCTAGTTTTACAGCCAGCTAATGGGTGACATTACTTGCTAAAGTCTTAAAAGGTTGTAGGGACTCTGTCTGCTCAGCCTCATCCCCAAGGGCAGTCTTGGGGAACCTGAGCAGGGAGAGCTGTCCTTTCCAAAGCGTAGATCACTCCCATAGAGCAAGTCAGGTGGCCTAAGAAACCATGGGGTCCAGAGACTGGACTGCTGGCCTGTCCGAGTTTGACTGAATGCAGCACCTGTAGTCAACACTTGGCAATATTTTAGAAACCACATACTGTACTGGCAAGGCCAGGTCCAGGTCACTGTCCTACCACAAGGTGGGCAGTGGCCCAGCCCTCAGCACGGGTCAGTTCTCACGCACACACAGAGATGTTGGTACCAAGACTGAAACCTTCAGATTCTATTGGGCATATTTTCTTTTTAGGAATGAAGGACAATTCTCCCCATTTTTGAGCCATTCTTTTGTCAATTCTACAAAATTGCATGTAACTTTATAAATATTTTTAAAAGATATAGTTTTGTAAATATTTAATATTCTGCTAATTTGATTTTGAATTGTAAATGTCAAGTATTCTGTTTTTGGGGTTTTTATGTTTTATTATACTTTGTTAAAAAGGAAAAATTGTACATTTTTAGACTGTTTTTATGAGTAAATTTAATGTACGGAAAATAAAAATTAAAAAAAAAAACTCATGTTTGATGTCCCTAGATGTTTGTCTCAGAGGCAGGACCCTTTCCCAGCTCAGGTCTCCTCTCCAGGTGAGGCACCTTCTTCCTTTGCTCCTCCAATTTCTAGGACTCTCGGGCCCTACTCTGCTTCCTGCCAAGGTTCCCAGCTTTGAACAGCGTCCTCACAGTACAAATATTTGACTGGGTTAAACATGTTTCAGCTGCACAATCTTTGACAGTCGGAACCCTAGGATGTGAGATGGCCGACCTGGTCTTGCAGAACGGGGACCTGGTGACAGCGCTGGCGAGACTCACTTGCCAGTATCTCCATTGTGAGGGGTCACTGAGACGGTGTTGCACCTGAAATACCCGTTTCCTTTGGACAGTATATGCAACCCCCGTGCAGCTTCTTGGGCTGGCCTGAGGAGACTCTTGGACAGCTTTGCAGAGCTGCCGTCTGCTTTAAGCTGAAGTTGCTTCCACTGTCTCCCAAGTGTCAGCAGCTGTCCACACGAGTAAAGCCCCCACCCCACACTCATCCTTTGCTGTGCGTGCTCTGGTGGGCAAGGCCATCATGCGTGTGTTACTACCACAGCACCAACTTGCATCCTGACAGCTGGCAGATCAGTCAGCTATCCAGAGAATTTAAAAGCAGGAACTAGTGGCAAGGTGTTGACCAAGGAGAGGAAGGTGCCCTCCCTCTCAGCACACTGCAGGGCCCAGTTCCCACGCTGACACCATAAGACAGCTCTCAGGACAGGTTCAATTGTGCCTTTATTCACTTAGTGCATCGAAGTGTACAGATGTCCTATAAATGAAGGCCGCCCATCTGAGCAGCATTTTTAAAGCAGTATTACAGGAATCCTTATTGATCGCACCGTAGTTATAAAAACTGGGGACATAATAATGACGTACACAACCTACGTGAGACAGGGTAGTCAGAATATACATGATGTAAATAACAAATTGAAAGTTAGCAAGTGGACAGCCGCATGCGGGGAGGGGAGGGGTGCCTGTAAGGAGCTAGGGTAGGAGGTGGCTATGTTGGTTTCCCTCCATGACAGCAGGCAGTTCTCACTGAGATTCTCAGATCACAAGGATGAGTGAGTGACCAAGGATGGTCTGAGTGTCACAGTGGACCACATGCAGGAAGCAGGAAGCAGTGGTTTGCACTAGTTGGAACTGGCCATGGATATCATCAAGAGCATGTGTCTCCTGCTGCTGTTGTCTTCACAGCTGACATCTAATGGACTGAGGTGGAGTGGGAGAATCTCAACAGCTGTCTGATAGAACTGTTCTTACAAAGACAGTTACACACTAACACATTATCTACAGCTGTAAGCCAAGTGCAGACGGGAGTGCATTTCAACTTCAGGGTTCAGTCTTCTGTTTGACAGCTGCGTCCTAACGCCAGCACCGCACACCTGCCTGCTCCCCTCCCTGGAGCAGGTACCGGCCAGACAAAATCC